CGCAATCCCTTCTCCTCCATTCTCCTCTTGGGATCTTGGGCACGCACACACATGCGCCCGGCGTGAGTCTCAAGCCACCAGGTCCAGGACGCAAACCGCGGTGGACTACGTGGGAGTCCAGCGACATAGCCATTACGCTAACTGCTGGTCCCAAAACCCCCTTTTTTTTTTAAGAGAGATTTTTGCTATAGGGTGTGTGCACTCACCAGAGAGACAGAGAGTGACACAGAGACAGAAAGCAAGAAATCACCCTCCAGGGGGGATGGCCATGCAGCAATCCCTTCTCCTCCATTCTCCTCTTGGGATCCTGAGCACATGCAGCCGGCATGAGTTTAAGCCGCCAGGCCTGTCACTTGAACCACAGTCAAGCACATGGGAGTCCAGTGACAAAACTGTTATGCCGTCTGCTGGTCCCAAGATAAAAACTTCTTTTAAAACAAAAGGGATCTGTGGGCCAGCAGGTGATGTGGTGGTTAAGGTCCTGGATTGTCACATGGTGGACTGTGGTTCCAGTCCCAGAACTGGCAGCTTGCTTTCTCTTTCTGGTGAGCTCATGTGCCCTATAGCAAATCTGAAAATAATAATAACATAAATTTTAAAAAGGAAAACACTGGAGAGAATTTATATCTTAACTTTATTAGATCTTATACCCTAAAAGAAAAAAAAAAAAGGAATGGATCTGCGTAAGTTCCCTGTCTTGCCTGGACTTCCATAGAACGCAGCCTCTGCAAGTCTGATGTTACTGGCTGCCTGCATCTGCCTGCGTGCCCTGGCTTTCCCTTACTTCCAATTCAAGAAACACAGGCTGTTCCTGGGAAACTGGACATCATGCGAATCAGAGCCCTAGGGGTAGGAGTTTTCTCTTTAAACCTAAAGCATGTGCCCACCAGCCATGGGGCTAGTGAACCAATCATTTTGCAAAATCAGCTTAATAGGCAATTGGTGCAACAATACATAACATGGTATCGCAAAAGTTAGGCACTTTTTCAGGACCGGTAGATGGCATAATGGTTCTGTCGCTGGGCTCCCACGTAATTGACCACAGTTCAAGTCCATGTGCTCAGGATCCCAAGAGGAGAATGGAGGAGAAGGGACTGCTGCATGGCCATACCCCCTGGGGGAGTGATTTCTCGCTTTCTGTCTCTCCCACAAGCATGTGCACCCCATAGTAAAAATCTCTTAAAAAAAGAAAGAAAAGAAAAAAAAGAAAAGAGAAAAAAATAAAATAAAACTCACGCCAGGTACACGTGTGTGCCCCAAATCAAGAGGAGAATGGAGAAGGGATTGTGGGGTGTCGCTCTCTCTCTCTCTCTCTCTCTCTCTCTCTCTCTCAGGTGAGTGCACATGCACTACAGTAAAAATCTCTCAAAAAAAAAAAGTTAGGCAGTTTTTCTGTTGAAAACTTTATTAGAAATTTCCCAAAAGCCCCATCCCAAATCACGTGATTTCTTTACTCAGTTCAGTTCTTGGACCTTGCCCTGTGATCAGCATAGAGGATAGCCAGTAGTACGGTCCATTTTTTCCACTTAATGTTATTCCATACATCTTTCCCTTAAATTCAAAAATTCAAAACAAGGGAAGACTACCCATAATCAACTAGCATTAGCTTTTCATGGTGTGAAAACTTATTTCTTAGAAAATTTCTGTGGGCACCAGCAGTTGACATAATGGCTATGTCGCTGGACTCCCATGTAGTCGACCGCAGTTCAAGTCCCAGACCCGGTGGCTTAAACTCACACTGGGTGCATGTGTGTGCGTGCCCAAGATCCCGAGAAGAGAATGGAGGAGAAGGGATTGCGACATGGCCATCCCCCCTGGGGGGGGGGTGATTTCTCACTTTCTGTCTCTCTGTCTCTGTCTTTCTGGCAAGTGCATGTGCCATATAGCAAAAACGTCTCCAAAAAAAAAAGGAAGAAAGAAAAAGAAAAATTTCAGCGGCCATCAAGCTCCTGGTAGACAAGATTCAGAATTTCCAAAGCAAAACATTGTGCTTTAAAGATCCACATTATTAGAACTCATGTTAGAATGCTCTTTAACTTAAAGAGCTAAGATGGGGACCAGCAGTTAGTGTAATGGCTATGTCGCTGGACTCCCATGTAGTCGACCGGTGCTTTGAGTCCCAGACCTGGTGGCTTGAACTCACGCCAGGCACGTGTGCATGCGTGCCCAAGATCCCGAGAGGAGAATGGAGGAGAAGGGATTGCAGCATGGCCATCCCCCCTGGGAGGTGATTTCTCGCTTTCTGTCTCTCTGTCTCTGTCTTTCTGGCAAGCGCACACGCCCTATAGCAAAAACCTCTCCAAAAAAAGAGAGCTAAGATGAATAGAAATACTAATTATTAACCATATATTGTTGGGCTAGTATATGATGGGACTATTTAAGGATATGGACAAGGAGAAGGTTATACATTCTTTTTGTCCAGGTACATTGGAGGAGGCGGATGGCTGGAGGGTAAGTGTGCCTTTTTTCTCTGGCTGTGAAACTTTTTTTTTTTTTAATGAGATTTTTTTCTATAGGGCGTGTGCGCTCACCATAGAGAGACGGAGACAGAGAAAGCGAGAAATCACCCCACAGAGGGGATGGCACACTGCAATCCCTTCTCCATTCTCCTCTCAGGAATTTGGGCACGCAGGCGCGGACACGCACCCAGCCTGAGTTTTAAGCCCCCAGGTCCAGGACTGAAATCATCGTGGATTACGTGGGAGTCCAACAACGTCACCATTCCGCCATCTGCTGGTCCTGTGTCTGCAAGCTTAATTGGAGTGCAGTCTAGTTATTAACGTAGAATTTGTGCCCTCTAAGCTAGCTGAGCAATACCGGGCTTAGCTATCACACTCACCCCCAAACGCGATAGACATTCCTTATTTTGCTTGATATTTGAAAGAAAACAAAAAGAAAGAAAATGCACACATACATACACATATCTAATTACCCAGAAACAGTTCATGAAACACATGCCAAAATGATCGTGTTGCTTATACGGCGTCCGAGAAACATATCCTACGCTCCAGTGTCCTTTCCTTCAGGTACTTCAAAGTTCCTGGCTGCCAAAGGACTTCATCTCCTGCCAGCTGAGATTTGTGGCGACCCGCTCGGAACCTGAAGTATGTGTCGGCCAGGTTGCTACATCGGCTCATTTTTAACGGCACACATGCCTCCCGATGGCAGGACCAGCTAGGGCAAGGGAAGAGATTTGCCGACGTACCCGGAACTGTCTCCAAGCCTTCCCCAGTTTGGGCCGCTGTGTGGCAGCGGGT